AAGATCTAAACCATCGTAATATCAGCGAGAACATCATTAAGAAAAATGATGTGGTTGCAAACAATTAGAGAAGCCACCGAAAAGTCAATGTCTTAGTTACACATGGCGGAAGAAGAATCATACTGCCTCGCTTCTCGATGTACATCTGTTATTTGATCTGTCTCTGCGATGGAATTCATTTGCACGTGATGATAATCTGGGGACGATTATAACTCCGTCCAAAGCCAAACGCTACGAGTACATGCCAGGCGGCTTCAAAGAGTGAATCCGAAAATGTAGCCAGAAGACTATGCATCAAATCTTTGCCTCATCGGTGATAGCAGAAAATCTATTATACGCAGTTAGATCGTATTGAGTTTTCTCCGCAAGGTTGAAAGAAATCTCAAAGTATCAATTAGTTTTAACATCATATTGCACGAACCAAGACGAAAGATTACACAGGGCAACAGCCAAAAAAAACCAAGAACCAAGGTACTTCCGAATGTTTTGGAGTTGCTGAATCCAAATCCGGCGGCAGATTTTGTCCATCACATCAGGTTCCCGAGATATTCTAACATAAAAGTACAAAAAACACTATTTTTGGCTAACTTTCAAGTTATGTCAGATCTCTACTAAAAGCTTTTTTTAAGCAGACGGCATTTCAAAGAACTATAACCCTTCAAAACCCTTTTTTCAAATTAAAAAACTTTTTTTTTCGTTGAGATATCGATGTTTAAATTTTTTTATTTTTGCGATATTTGAGAAAGTAAAGTTGACCTTCAAATAATCTTGAAAATCACATTGAAGGTCAAATTTGATGTCCTCGTCAGTTAACCCTCTCTAAACCATACAACTTTTACCTGAAACATTTTTCGTATACTTGGCATGCTTTTAGTTATTCTACGGTCCAAGTTAAAATGAGACACCCGGTATATATATGTATGTACGTGTGTATGTACTCGTATGTACGTGTGTATGTACTCGTATGTACGTATATATGTGTATAAATATATATATGTATATATATATATACACATACGTACATACATACAGTTGATATGGACCAAACTTTAGTCTTTCAGCCTCAAAATGTCTTGTGAAGAGAATCCTACCGTTTCTGCCTACTAGCGAAATCGTCAAAATATGAAACTTCAAACATCGATATCTCAACGAAAAAAAAAAGATTTTTCAAATTTGAAAGAAGGGGTTTGAAGGGTTAGAGTTCTTCTTTGAGATGCCGTCGGCCGTTTAAAAAAAACTTTCAGTAGATATTTTACATAACTTCAAAGTTAGCCAAAAACAGTGTTTTTGCACATTTAGGTTAAGATATCTGGGTAACCTGACGTAATGGACAAAATCTGCCGCCGGATTTGGATTCAGCGACTCAAAAACTTTCGGGAGTACCAAGTCACGGTTCTAGGTCAGTTCACTTTTCAAATTTTGTTACCGTGTGTTATTCTGCGATCCTCAAGTTATCGTTCCGTCTAGCAATAGCAAAGTGTGATGAGAGGAAAAATCGGAAAGTTAGTTATTGTACTACTGTGGGCAAAAAGTAAGGTGAATTTTCAATTTAAACTTCGCGGGCTTAACATTTCGGGCTAGTTCTTTTTTTCTTGAGTTGGTAGGACTGCGAATGACATCTGGGACAAATTTCATGTCAATGTCATCATCAGTAATATATTTACGCTTGTGTTTACCAAACGACTAAGAGTGCATGTTTCGATTTTTACAATGTCTGATTTAATTGAGCAAAGAAGTGCCATCAAATTTTGTTTGCGGAATAAAATTTCGGCTGCGGAAACGTTGAGGATGTTGCGGAAGGCCTTTGGTGATTCTACCATGTCGCAGAAAAATGTTTATAAGTGATACAAAGACTTCAAAGAGGGTCGAGAACGTGTTGATGACTTGGAGCGCTCCGGACGACCATCGACGTCAACAGATGACCAACACGTCAATAAAGTGAAGGAATTAGTGCTCGAAAATCGTCGGTTGACTGTTAGAGACCTTACTGATATGATCGGAATATCAGAAGGATCTGTGAAAACAATTTTGAAAGACCATTTGGGCCTACGAAAAGTCAAATCTCGTTTGGTACCGAAAACGCTCAATTTCTTTCAAAAAATTCGCCAAAAATTCGACGCATATCGTTCCGCAACCACCGTATTCGCCTGATTTCGCTCCGTGGGACTTCTGGCTATTCCCAAAACTCAAGAGACCACTCCGGGGAACGCGTTTCGAGTCGATTGAGGAGATAAGAGCTGAATCGAAGAAGGCGCTGATGGCTATACCGGAAAGGGACTATTTGGCATGTTTCGAGGATTGGAAAAAACGTTGGCATAAGTGTATTTTATCGGGAGGGGATTACTTCGAAGGGGATGACATTGATGTAGAAGAATAAATAAAGATTTTTCATTTTACAAACAAATTCACCTTACTTTTTGCCCACAGTAGTAAATCGGCAGTGAAGGGTAAAACACACATAAAAAAGTTAAAACGCATAGAGACGCTAGTGAGGCCAAGCGGTTTTGCATAAAAACTCTACGTTTTCTATGAACCAGTGAGGTAGAAGGAGGCAAGATCTCGTCAACTGATACTATAGAGAATATGTGACCGGCAGTGCGGGCGTGGTTAACGCGAATGCAAGCTATGGTAAATGAAAACCAACGGATATAAGAATCCTTAAGTTATCCTGTGTGTAAATGTGGTTATAGAAATCAGTAGAGTAGATGATCTTGTCATCCGGTATCAAATCGGCAGCACATTTAAGGTACTAAATCGACGGCAAAATCGAAAGCACCTGATTGATTGTCGCAGTTATTAAAATAGGTATTATATAATAGCTGAATATGGAACTAAAATGGAAACTGGATGAGGAGTAAAAAAATGGCTAGTTTACAAAACAATTGAAATCCAATGTTGAAATTAGACCAGCGGAGTAGAAAGTAGATTAACTGTGATCTGTTGATAAGGCTGCTTCATCTGTGTCTACCGAATAATTTTCTTTGTCGCCAGATTATCATTCTTTTAATTATTAACATTAAGAAAGTAAACTTGAATAGATGTCCTTAAAAATAGTTGAGTTTTATTAAATCTTCAATATCTATAATATTAAATCTTCAATAAACTCACCGTTAATCGCGAGGTTATATTTACCCTCACTATTGTTATATCTAGTGCAAATTATGAGGGGATAGAACTTTAAAAAAATTTACTTACATAATATAATGTAATGATAACATAACGTAAATATGTAAATATGTAAATACGTAAATATGTAACGTAACGTAAATATAGTCTTATGATTAACAATGAATTTGAATGTGTGTAAAAAAATGTTAACTCTTTCTCTGGATATACATGTAAGTTTCATTTCTTAATATCAATAATTGAGTAAGTGATGACTTGTTGAAAAATAATTTAATCACTCCTAATGCACTTACAAAGAAACCTGTCCGAAGAAAGGATAAATTTCTGTTTTTTTCCGATCCCACAGTAAAAGATAGAAATTTGAAAATCTAAAGTTCACTTATATTAATCTTGAAATTCAAACTCAAAGTCAAATTGATGTCACTACTAGTTGACTTTCTTTGAACCTCAAATCTCTTATAGAGGTCATTTTTCGCCATCACGTATGCCTTGCTCAAATTTCGACTCTAAAAAGAAGATTAAAAAGCATCATCCCATATATTACGTGAAATACTACGTATCTTAATTTAATCTTTGCAGTTTAGGCTAATTGCCATGTCTGTCTTTGTATTATTCTTGCTTATCTACTTAAGGATTTAAAAGCACAATCTTGTGCTGATATTACTCTTAGTTGAAGATTGTAGCAAGTTATTGATTTGTTTTATTACAATAGAAACAAAAATATGTAGTCACTGTAGGGTTCCTATATTTGGAACAATAATATATGTTACAATATCTTTTTTCATCTGAGATTTGCTTATAAGAATACGCAATCCAATTATTTGAAGAGGAAGTTTGGAAACAAATCGCTCCTCGAAGTGCGAAAATGGGCAATTCTGCTATCGTACACCGCTTTCAAGAGAAAGTGGGAAATTGATAAGTTATGTGTTTACAATAAAGAAGAATTTATTAGTAGATATCTCTTTTATATGATTTCATTTTTATATATATTTTCTACATATTATTCAATATCTCTATATATTTTCATTTCTTTCTGATCGTCCTAGTTATTGTCCGCTAATATAAGTCACGTGGTAATGTCTTTAATAATTCGCGTATCGCAAGTTTTCCAGTGAGTGCCGCCATGAAAATCTTCTTCATGATAAAAAGAACAAAACCAAGGGAAATCATACAAGGACAGTTACAATTTTTTATGATTCCGCGAGTTCAGGAGACAGCCCGTTAAGCTTCTCTAATCGTAACAAGATTTACTAGCAATATTAGATCGAGAGAGAGAAAAAAGTGTTGACCTTTTTAAATAAAATGCTGTTAATTACTTAGTCGGCAAAAATAGCTAGAACCATTACTAAATTTATTGACCGGTCGGTAGTAGACTGCTTTATTTTTATTGTACTCTAAAGGCAAACAATTACCCGCGTGGTGCAGTTTCTTGTGGCTCATCCGCATTTTCACTGACAAGATTCTTTCGATTCCTTCTCTTTCATTCTAGCCCTATCCAGCCACTAGTCGTATACAACACAATGCGAATTATATCTGTATTTGTCTTTCTCTCTCTCTCTTTCTCTCCCTCCCCCTCTTTTACGGCATTTTGATCCATTGGTTTAACTGCTCCTTTTCTTCGTTGACGCTACAATCTGCCAACCAACTTTAAATGACAATAATGTTAAGCTCGAAAATGAAAGTCTAAGTTCAGTGGACTCATTCTCGATATTGACTGTCAGAAAAGGCCTCACGAGGGCACAGGGGAACACTGATGAGGTTGACGTTAATATCTGTGTTTTCATTAGAAGCATACTAATATTAAGCATAATTTTATATTAATACTATAAAAATTTTGCAATTATTCATACTTAATAATAATATTTGTGATTTAGGGTGAATCTTTTACTCGAATGAAGGAAAGATTATTCAAAAAATTAGGTGTCCAAGAGAAGGAATTTGAAAAGGTAATAACTATTTAATTTAATTTAATTTTGTTTTATTATATTGGAACATAACAACTGAATTTGCTAATATTTCCTATTGCCCCTTTTACCCTTTTGTGCCTTTTTATATTCTTTCTTTTATATCTCTTTTTGCCATTTTTGATATCTGATGATTTTTTTGATTATGTTTTTTTATATTTTATTTTCAGTATACATTTTTGAAAATTTGAAAGTAACGTAAGATCATTAACGTTCTACTTTATTTTTCTATAAATAATGTAATTGATGGTAATAATTAGTTTGTTAATATATAAATAGTATAGTATGACTTTATTATTTTTACGAATTATGTTACTATAGGTTGAAAACTTTTTTCATTAGTGAATTTTCTATTATGCAGTAAAATTCCTTACTTCCTTTCATTTTTTACGTTTCAACCTCATTTAATTATTTTGATAAAAACATGTAGATATACAACAATTATATCATTTCGTAAATAGTATTTTTTCTCCAATACCATTCAGGTAAATATCAAATGCTTTTTTCTATAGTGGGTAATTTTATAGTATTCCCAAAAGGCCTAATCACGTAATACCTTTATATTTTCTTATTAAAATTTATAAATAAAATTGAATGGATAATGTTATTTGATTTATGAGTTTAGCAAGCGAAACGAGGAGAGATGTACCCTCTGGTATGTATATACTAGTGGTAGCGTATGTATATACTAGTGGAGCTCCGCTATCTGCTTTATTTACTTGCCAACCCCCCGAAATAAATAAGAAATTTTCAGGTACTTCCACATCATCACTCAGGTACACATACTCCCGCCCAATAATCTTTACCCACCCAAGAACAAAACGACTATAATTTTTAAGCTGCATATCTGCTGGAAATGAATCTATAGAACTTTGCAGAGCTTTTCGCAGGAGAGATTATGTCACAAGGGGAAATCGTGTCGCGGTAGGAGTCTGCGTTAATATCTGGAGTTACCGAAGCGAGAAGCATCTGAGGTTGTTCGATATGAAGCGACGGAGGTTACCGACCAACGATTCTTCGGTGGTAGCGCCTCATCTTCATTGGTGACAAAACTACGTATGTGCACTCCGGCTTCGGTATTTGGAGTCCGTACAAAAGTAGCAGTAATAATAAAATTTTTGTTTGTTTTCCCTATTATTTTTTTTTGTGATCGCGATGAAGGTTGGTGTTTATCGTGTTCCTTAAAAAGAAAGAGTTTTTCTTCTGTTCTTGTTTCTGGGCTCAAAAATAATTCTATTTTGATCGTAAATATTTAATTTCCGTTATATGGGTTATAAATGGTCTGTCTTTAGGTTCTAACTTGGTTGCTACCAATCTAGACTTAAATTTCAGTTATAACGGTCCTATCTATGAGCTAGTCTCTTATTTCACTGAATCACTGCAATGCGCTAAACTCATCAATCTGTTTACGTCAATTAGCATATTAAACGGCGCCACCTCAACTATTATTTAATTGTCTTAGTACAAGAGTCTAATTTCATGACCATATAATGAGCATGATATCACATACTTGTAGATATAGATATAATTGTTTTTGTTATTTGAATAAAATATGTTAATTAAAAGTAATTTTGATGAAACAAAGCATTGGTTATATAGATTTTAGTACATACATTTGGATTATAATAGCTTTAATTGCGTTTCATTGTTAAGTGATATGAATTTTAATATGCAAAGTTAATTTGTTTATTACATTGTAAATATTAATTATTAGAAAAATGCGAATACTCTAAATTCATAATGAATATCTTAAAAACATGAGATAGAATTGGTTTCATTGATAACAGTTTAATTATAACTGTTATCAATTGTAACGGGGGAGATAAATCCGCAAAATGAGAAATTTATTTAAGAACAAACTCCCACGATGCAGAGCAAACCGCCGCTCCGTTAACACGTATGTTAATACGTGTATTCACCTTAACGTCAGCTGATTTAACTTAGTTGTCTTCGATCAAGCGGAGTTGAACTCATCTTAAGTCACGTGCCTTGTGCCACACGATAAGTTTTAAGTGTAAGCGACTTTACTCCTAATCCACTTAATCCCCTAGCTATAATAGGATTAAAACCTAAGCTTTTTCCAATTGTTTAAACTACTAGGAAAAATCATATGACGAAATCGGCGAATAAGTTTAATAGATTTTATTAATAAAAATCTCTACAGTCTTTGTCGGGCCGAAAGACTGACGCACGCGAATAGGATTTACAATTAAATAACTTTCGGTGAGAAAGAGAGAGAGAGAAGATACGAATATTGGCGCGATCTAACGCTCGGCGCGAATACAAAAAATTAACGCTAATACGGTTGGGCAAAATACCAAATGTATTTTGTCACGCGATAATTAAGGGAGGTGCACCTACCCTGCGGTGCAATTACGGTGATCAGCCGTAATTGTTGAAGCAAATTAAAGGTGCTCCTCAGATCAGAATCAGCTGTGCTGCCTCGATTGCAAATATGCTGTATAATTGCTGTCGCTTTTACTGCTGCTTCCGTGATGCTGCTACAGTTGCTGCTTCCTCGCTCACCCTTGCACACGTATCCAAAATCCAAGTAAACTTTTTTATTGGCAAATCGTTGGAACACTGTGCTAAACTATTTTGGCGGTACTACACAAGTAACAGCTGAGACGTAACTGCTTATTCAAAAGATCGCGCGCCCCCTCTCTCTCTCAATAGTTCGAACTAACGCGCGAGAAGCAGAATCGCGAACGGTTCGATTAATTAAATCGACTACCATTGCAGCCCCCTCCAAGTCCTGACTACCCGGGCAGGACGAATACCCGCGATTCTCCGTCATCAGGAACCTGAAAGTAATAAAGAAGGAAAGGAAACAAAACAATAACTCACTTCTTTTTTTCGGCTAATTTATTTGCCCTCCAGGGCCTACACCATCGTTTGGCTACACCTGGCGCGCGATGTTTCGGGTAGCGCCAGTGTGTAGCCTACTTCGGGCACCGCTGGGAGTTGGTCACCCCAGGCTCCCCACAGATGTAGCAGCCCCTCAGCTGCGACCGAGATTGAGCAGCCTCCCGATCTTGTGATGGCTGCTCAGCAGCCAGAGGGGACTGCTGGGCACTGACTCCCTATGAGGCGGTGATGGTCACGCCTCCCACCGTGGCGGTCGCACGTCCATCCTGCGACCTGACCACGATGGTAGTATCAGGAGCCATGCGCCCGTCCACATGGACCGTGAGCGTTGGTCCAGCGTCAGTAGCTCCCGGGGCTCTCTTCTCTTGAGCCGGCGCCGGGAGCGCTGCGGAGGACTCTTGTCCGTTATCCACCCGCAGCAGGGCCTCTCCGTAGGCCCTCTGACGCTGAGCCATCCCTGCCCACTCCCCGAGCAGCTCTTCTGCGCCCTGGCGGCTCAAAAAGCGTCTCAGGTGCTCCTGCACCTGAGACTGGAGTTCTTGAGTGAACCGCCATGCACTCTCCACCTCGTTGATCCCTAGACGCACGTGTCTGAAGTCGAAGAGGAGAGTAGGCTGCTCACTGCTCAGGGATCCGGGGATGATTGCAGACCCAGTGCGAGGCCCCACAGGTTTCCCTGGGTCCTGGGCATTGCCTCGCACTGTCCGACGTAAGGGATACACTGGACTTGAGGGTCTGCACCCTCTGGTCCACTGTAGACTTGGGACGTTCGACACTGTCCTGGTCCTCGGTCTGTGTCGAAGCGTCCCGAGAAGCCTTCTTCGGGACGACCCACGACGAATCCCGGAGAACCTCTGCCACCGAGGCATTGCGTCGATCCCTTCGGGTGGTCCCTTCCAACTGGACCCTGGCGAAGCTCCGCAGATCTTCAATTAGCTGCGTCGCATCAGGGCCCAGTTGCAGATCTAACAGCATCTGCGTGACCACCTCGAAGGTCTCCTCTTCGACGACGATTCTCCGGTCCATCTGAAACATCCAAAACAACAAATTTCGGATGAATCTCCCTGCGCGAAGAAAAAATCCTAATATAAGCCGCATCCCACCGAGTTATACGCTCCCTCGCGATTCTTTGTGGGAACGTCCTGGCCCTCGTCGGTTACCGCTCGGTTTTATCGGCCCAACCGTCCTTTGTACGACGGGCACGGTCTTTCGAGGCCTACCTCTCCCTCTATTCTCCTTCACGGGAGAGTTGTTGCCCCTCGCTGGACCGGTGACCGTCTCTAGAGCCTTTCGAGGTCGACCTCGACCTCTCTTAGTTGGGGCAGATACCGGTAAATCCGACATCTCGGTGGGAACTTTATCTACGGCCGTGGGGGCTGCTAATTGGACCCGCTCGTTATCCGATAAATCCCCTCCCGGATTTTCGCGCGCATTCGCGGAATCGTTCGCATCCTCCGACGGCAGTTCATCTGGCGGCTCGCGAGGTTCGATGACCTCCTCGCTTTCCCCATCCTCACCCGGACCGTAATATGGTTTAAGGTCCTTGGCATGGAAGAGCTCAGACAGAATCTCCAGGATCTCCATCTTCAATCTCCGACCTTGAACTCGGGTTGCCGTCTCTTCCGGTCATAATAAGCCGCCTGACGCACAGCTTCCTCCTTTGACTTGGAGATAGCTCTCTCCCACAAATTAGGAAGCTTCTCCATATGTTCGGCCCAATCTTCTACAGCCTGACCCTCCGAACATTCAAGGGCCTGCTGATCTTGGGTTCTTCTGAACGTCAAAGGAGGTACCAGCTGACGCCCAAACATGAGCATCGCAGGACTATATCCGGTGGCGCTATGAGTTGCCGAGTTCAACGCGAAGTTGAACTCTTACAGGTGTTCATCCCAGCTCTTATGATCACGGCTTACGTAAGACGTGATCATGGTTTTGAGTGTCCTGTTTACTCGCTCTGTGGGATTCGCTTGGGGATGATACACGGGAGTTAAAGCGCGCTGGATGCCGTTCATCTGCAGGTATGAATCGACCTCCTGATTCTTAAATTCGGTTCCATTATCCGACAAGAATACCTCAGGCGCACCAAACCTAGTGACGATCCTCTCGTGTAATTC